TCTCATGCTCTCCTCAGTGTAGGCCAGATAAACATGGGACAGGTCTACTTCAAATGGCTGCATCACAAAAGAAGGACAGCGGACAAAAATGAAACATGAAAAGGGAGCAGCGTGCATCACGTGTGCCTCAGTAGATCTGAACGGATGCTTACATCTTTTTCTTTCTTGTCCGACACAGGTGTCTGTTTTCTCATGTTGTTGCCGGTGTAGGCCACACATTTCTAAAAAACAGCAAATACATCAGCTGTATTATATATTTTCATTGCACCCAAACATCATGTGCAGAATGAAATGTGTTAAAGACGCTCACCAGCTGCCATTCTCCAATGTCCTCATTCCAGTGCACATAGTTCTCAATCATCTCCTGTACACAGCACAACAAAAAAAAATGTTGTTTGCATGTTTTAATAGTAGTGCAGCTGAAACGCTGAGATAAATATTAAGCCAAGTTCAGATTTTGGGGACTTTTGAAACTCATGTTAAACTCAGAGTAAATAAGCAAAGGCAGCTCATTATTTCATTGAACTGCATTTGAAATATTCGATTCTTAAAGGGAAAGTTCACTCAAAAATGAAAAGTCTGGTTCCAAACCTGTATGAGTTTCTTTATTCTGCAGAAAAAAAGAATATATTTTAAACAGCTATTTATAATAATATATTTTAACTTTGGTTACCACTGATTTCCACGGTGCTGACCAAAAAAACAACACTTCATATCTTCTATGTTTCACAGAACAAAGTAATACGGGTTTGGAACGGCATCAAGAGTAAATGATGACAGAAGGATAATTTATGGGGTGAACTATCTCTTTAAGACTTTCTGTACAGTTAATTTGCTAGCTCAGTTTTGACATTTTCGCCTTTATTGTGCAAGTGCAGCATTTCACACTTTATATTATCAGCAAAAAATATCTGATTAATCAAATCCTGACAAGGGGGAAAAAGCAAAAAATGATTTGCATGCTTATTTATGCAAGTGCTGCATCCTGAAGCGCTGTGTTCGTGCAGGAGAAACAAGAAACGGAGAGAAACACAATACTTCAGTGATTAAAACAGTGTTCTGCAGGTTAAACGAACGTAAATTTAAGATTTGTTTAAAGGTCCTTTTTAAGACCAAGTAAAGAAAATTTAAGGAATGAATTGAATACACCAAACATGTACTTGGAGCAAAACTACAAAAAATAAGTTAAAATTAATCAAAATGAAGTGAATTCATAAATAAAAACTTCTAAATATCTGCCAACTGGCTCGGAAAAATCTACTTGATTTAAAGGATAAACAAGTTTTCATACCCCACTGACTGATGTTTGTTCTTGTTTTAAACATAAACTGAGTTAAAGACTTAATTTTACATTTGCAGCTCAAGTAAATGTATCTTGTTTTAAGGATGTTTGTATTAGAAAACAAAAATACAGAGGAAGACATTAATCTTTGTAACTTCATGAATTTAAGTCGTTTTGCTCTGATTTTGCGACTTTAAACTGGACCATTTTTCCTAAAAAGCCTAAAACTACATTTAGATTAGCTTGACTAAACATTACACAATTCAAGGTAATATGTAAATGTCAGACAAAGACATTTGACATGCACATATGGGAGGGTTTTCCCGTGATCTTGAAAAAGGGTGGTTTAATGAAGCTGAACTAGGAGATCTTTATCAACATGTTTTGATCACCAAGTAATTCCTGTATTTCTGTATCTATTATTTGATCACTTCACTGTTATTCTAAAACATGCCAACAAGAAAGAATGAGGAGGTTTGTCTAAAGTTTTGGCTGACAGTGCACGTGCATGAGCACAAATACAGACCTGATATTCCTGAGGAATGAAGTTATCAATGATGAGCATCTGTAGCCGCAGCTCTCTGCTCAGCTGCCGGATGTTTTCCAGCAGGCCTTCGATCTCTCTGTGATGCTCTTGCTGCAGATCAGCCATCTGAAACAGCAGACATTCTTACCAGAGTACCAATATAAACTAGTATTGTCTTGTAGTGAACAAATTGGCATTCCAAGGACCAGTTTAATGGCAGGGCCCCTCTCTAACTGTGGGGAGATGTGCCACACTGTGATTGGATCTTGGTGGAGGAACATAA